TCCATCATTGGCCGACAGCGGCACACAGAGTCCCGTCCAATAACTGCACAGAGCGCAGGGCTCCAAAGCCCCGCCGCGGGGCCGCCGCCGCCGCCGAGCCTCGCCGGAGGGACAGCGGCGACCCTGGCCCGAGGACAGCGGGGCTGGAGCCGGCAGAACCTGAAGGGAGAGCGCAGCTCTGACGGAACCCCCGCTATAAAGACAGGCGGGCTGGGAGAGCGCTGGCAGGGGCAGGGTAGATCGGGCACGGGGACTGCGTGTGCGGGCAGGAAGGTGTAAGGGTTGGCGGAGAGGATGACGCCAAAAAGGGCGATACGGAAATGTGGGGTCTTTGGTGTGTGTTTGTGTCCTGGGAACACCTCGTTAGAATGAGGCAGAGGGAGTAAAGCAGCGGAGGTGAAGCGGGCGGGAGGAGAAGTGGGAAGGGTGGATTGGGGTATACAGGGCGCCGAGGGGAAGCCAGTACTGGCACCGGCTTCCCATGTCCCTCAGGACCTTCAGGATGCCGGTCATCCCACCCAAGTGCTTGGTTAGCCCCTTCCTGACATCCCACGGAGTCGCGACGTAGCGGCTCAGTGTGTCACCAAAGCAGCGTCGCCGGCACAGAAACACTGATTTCGTGCTGCTGAGTTAGGAGCAGCTCCTCCGGCTGCAGCACAAAGTCACACCGCGGGGAGGCTCCCGCAGCAGAATTCGCAGGAGCACCGCCCCTTCTGCGGGATCCCCACCACTATCCCAGCAGGCATCTTTCCCGACAAATCGTAGAAATCTCGGTTTAATACGCCCTCCTGCGCTCGTCACCTCCCAGCTTGCTCCCTGGTACCCTTCTCCACCAGGCAAACGCAGAGAAATCACGGTCTGCGACATGCGGGCTCACTGGGGCCGAGAATGGATCCCGTTCCCGTGCAGCAAAGCCCAGCAGGTCACGGCACCGTGTAGACCACGGCGCCGGTAGTTCCTGGGCGACAATCAGCCCTTTCCTCAGTTGCCTGCCTGCCTGCCTGCCTTTGGGGTTGTTGCTGTCATCAGCCGGGTTTTCCAACTTCTCGCGCACCCATAGTGATAAAACGACCCCAATTTCGGCCCACGTTGTCCGACGCTCTCACAATTGCTCAGCTGTCACGGTGTAATGGGAAGGGGACGAGGAGGTTTGATAAGGGAGCGCCAGGAGCTAACCTGGCTGTGACACAGCTGTGTCTTTCCACAGCCGAGACTGCTCAGGAAGGGAGACCGCGATGTCCATGAAATAAATCGAAATCGAACTCAGCTCCCACGTGTTCAGTCCCTTCTTTTAAAAGCCCTGGGGAAGCGGTTGGGAAACATTGTGGCTGGTTATTTGTTACCCCGCTACTTATAATGGCTGAGTTCGTTGTGTAGGGGCTGCAAATCACCCACACCAACGTAGGAGAGAGCACGACCTCGACTCTGTCGCGTGTCCTCGGCCGGCACTCAATCCTAATAACTGCCGTGAGTACACGGGATCCACCCAGAGATGAATTATTTCTGCGCTTATATGAAGACTCAGCAATATCAAAGAGTTGGCTCAGTCCGTCTTCTCTACATGCTCAGCTATTTCCTTTTCTAGTTATTAACCATTGCCAAAAGATAAACCTTACTAGCGCTATTTATCATTCTTAGCAGTGGCCCGCAGAATGTGAGAAAAGTATAAAGTTCGCACCGATAAAATCCAGTGTTAGTCATCTAACGTTCCCAGAGCACTTCTTTTCTCATAGGCAACCAAATCCGAATTATCTTTCTTTCTTACACATAATCTAAACCAAAGAAAATCCCTTGTGCTCTTCTAGACAAATCTTTAAACAGCCTTCAGTGACTTATTATTTTCTCTGAAAGAAGCTCTGAATCCTTTTTCCAACCACTTCCCATTTGGTGTCTTTCCTAAACTCGGTTTACCGAACAATTTCTCTAACGTGGGGACCGCCGTTCTCAAGTAATTTTCTTTCCTACGAGTGTACACAGTCGTATACAGAGTACCTTGTCCATTAATCCCAGCAGTAGTGGGACACCCGAGCAGCGCAGAGATGAGTACAGCGAAAGTACTCTCGGGAAAGGCATCGAAGGCTGAACATTTCCACCTACCCTATTTTGATCGATCTGGAGCCATTATGTCTCCTCCGCCTTGATGGGAAGCCCAAATATTGCAGACGAGGCTTCAGAGCGCCTGAAAGCACCGTTTGGAGGGAGAGGAGTGGAAACCTACCGATAGCTAAGGGGAAAGACGCTTTCCCCAGCACCTGGAATTCCTTCAAGTACGGGTTCAAGCCAAGTCCCAGCCTAAGCCATTCACTCTGGCATCATTCCCGGCTCCGCCAGGGCTCCAAAGGATCCTGTGGCACCAGCAGACCCAAAACATTTTCTGCTCTGTTTCAAGCTCGGAACTACAGTGGAGCACTAATTCCATCTCTCCGGACGGAGCGGAGATATTAAACTACGGGTGTAAACAACGCCTTCTGACAAAGAGGTTAAGAATACACAAGAACAAAGCTTGAAAGGAAGGAAGATAACTACGGAATTACTCCCTCACTGAGTGAACACGTCATTATCACATGAAAGCGCTCAGATGTGGCAGAGACAATTAGTGAAGTAGTCACTAGATCAAGGTGAAAGGGTAGTCTCATCTTCAGACCCCACGACGCTTTTTGTCCCCACTCCATCCCGTGTCCATCTCACCACTACGGTTCGGTGAAACTCGCACCTGTCTGTTCTCTTCAGGACAGAGAAATACTGACAACATGGCAAAAATCGGGGCAAAATCGTCAACACAGCACATAAGACGAGGTGGGTCAAAAGGACCAGTCGATGTCACACACACACACTGACCCCCATTCATGCGCCCCTGAGCTATTGAGCAGTGCGCCGGGAAGTGACAATGCCGTTCCCCACTGATCCCCGACAGCAGAAGAGAGGAAAAAGAACCACAGAATGAATTAGGTTGGAAAAGATCTCTGCAATCATGGAGTCAACCTGTGACCTAACACCACCTTGTCAACTAGGCCATGGCACTCAGTGCCACATCCAGTCTTTCCTTAAACACCTCCAGGGATGGTGAATCCACCACCTCCCTTGGGAGCTCATTCCAATGCCTAGTCATTATTTCTCTGGAGAATTTCTTCCTAATGTCCAACCTAAACCTCCCATGACGTGGCTTAAGACTGTGCACTCTTGTCCTACTGCTGGTTGACTGGGAGGACGACCCCCACCTGGCTACAACCTCCTTTCAGGTAGTTGTAGAGAGCAATAAGGTTTCCCCTGATCCTCCTCCTCTCCAGGATAAATGACCCCAGCTCCCTCAGCCTCTGCTCATAGGACTTGTGCTCCAGACCTTAAGAAGATTCACACAAACCCGCAGAGAAAAACCTTAAGTCAGAAGCTCACCTGTGCCGAGCTCCCAGGGCTAGGAGGGTCCTTCCCGGACTGAGTGCCTGGGCCGGGTTCACAGGCGAGGAGATGAGCAGACAGTGCTGCAGTCCCTGGTCTCAAAAACGTGAAGTCTTTCTGACCCGGTTTGGAGGCTAAACACACTTCATAGGAGTAGGGCAAGGGCAGCGTGCTGCTGCAGTAGTTGTATGGTGCTTTTGAGCCAAGGCTGGAATAGAGTTCCTTATCAGAGGTTAAAAAAATGGGAGGGCCCCTCGACCGTCGGTATTTAAAGAAAAATGCAAAAAAGACCGTGCAAAGGAATAAAAAGGACACAACAGAAAGCGACACTACAAGAATGAGGTTTAGATCAGATGTGAGCTGGGACACATCGTCTCTGTCGCTCAGCTCCGGCAGCGCCTCCTGCAAGCTGTCGGCCAGCACCACGTGCAGCGTGGCCGTGGCCGACAGTGCCGGCTGCCCGTGGTCCTTCACCACGGCCACCAGCCGCTGCTTGGCCGCGTCCCGCTCCGACACGGCCCGCGCCGTGCGCACCTCGCCGCTCTGCAGCCCCACGCGGAACAGCGCCGGCTCCGACGCCTGCACCAGCTCGTACGACAGCCACGCGTTGCGCCCCGCGTCCGCGTCCACCGCCACCACC